AACAGCAGGTAAAGATGAACACTTCTTGTAAGCTTGAAATCAACTCATTCAACTCTTCCTTGATATGTTTAATGTTTCACATGTTGCATTGAGATTACATGTAAGAAACAGGCTTGCGCTAAACCTCTAGGCCTAATAGCCAAAAAAAATTACTCTACTTTTCACAGCAAAGCAAACAAAGCTTCAGAGAAGCTCCTCTTGACTGCTGTTTTTTTTTTTTTTTCTTCTCCTAATCACTGCACATAGTCTGATGTTGTCCTGTTGTGCACAATCATTTTTTTTGTGATATATGAATTGCACACTTCTCCTAGGTAGTCAAGGGAATGACCAGAGTTTAGAGATAAAGCACAGTGTCATCTGCAGCTGGTGAAATCTTCATTTTACGCTATCACATTCGTTTCAATACACTAAACAATAACTGGCCACTAGTATGTGGCTACTGTAGTTTATATTATGAAATGCCTGAAGACCGTTGGTGTGAATGTGTCTTTTTAACCAACTGATGTGCCTTGTGAGAGAAACTTTATTTTACAATTGATACAGTTTTCATTTACAGATGTTTTTTGTATCATTTGTAGCAAGGTATGATGGTATTGATTTGTTCAAAACACTTGTTGTACATGATTCTTCTATTAAGTTACATCCGCTTCATGACTTTTACTTCAAGTCAAATTATGCTCTATGCAAACCTGAGAAAGTTTGTTTAAAAAGGATATCAGCATTATGCAACTAAGTTGGGTTTAAATGGGCCTGGACAACATTTTGCTGAGGCATTGTTCACAATTTTGTAATAAAGCATTTTATAGCACTTTGAGGTGTCTTTACTCTATAATTTCTGTTTTCATATATGCTTACCAGTGCCTGTATTGTAAAGAAGTTGAAGCTTGTGTTAAAACTTCAGAACAATTATTCTCTTTTCTATGTTGAGGAAGGAAATATCTTTTTAAAAACGTGTACAAAAACATAAACATAAAAAACTCCTAAAAATGGAGAGAGCTGTTGTGAACATCTTGTAAGTATTTGATATAAACAGGTAGTTGCATATATTAACAGACTGTATCTCTGACTTCTTGCTGACCTCTACTACACCACCTGGCTCAGCATGCAGGTATTACGCAGATGTCTCAGTCAACTAAACATCATGTAAATGTATTTCTTTTTTGGTCTGAATGAACCCACTAGGGGGCCCTGGGAAAAAAATAAGCTACTGTGGTCCTTACTGACCCCTTGTTCTTTGCTTGAGCATTACATCCTGTCACTGTCAAGTAGGTCTACCCATGAAATACACTCCCCATAGCAGACTACACATGGCAGCTTAATTATATTTTGCATAGAGCCCCAGAAACCAACTGGAATTGTACGTGTCGTAAGGTTGCTCTGTGTGTTGTGAGAATATAATTTATGCACCACATAAAAACAATGTCAACAAACTGAATAATGGTGATAAAACTAATGCAGGACTAACCTTAAGGCCCTTTATTTCAGTTTTGCCATATTTCATATTACCGCAAAGTAACCCACAATAAACCTGGGGCTAGATAAGTAATCCAGCCCTGGCACAAAAAAATTGCATGATTTTTGAAAGGAGTTTGGTTCAAAGCATACATTTACATATTTGGTGTGTAAACAATGATGTGTTGATTTTGATGGCTTATTTAAAGGGTCAGTTCACCTAAATTACAAAGAAACATGTCCTCACTTATACACAGACTTTGAGATATCCCTTTTATTCTTTGATGTCCTTTTCTTTTTATATTTATTCTTGCCTTTTACTGGATAGTAGACATGGACCGTATATATTTAGACTGATTTTAACTTAAAAAATGCAAAATACCATTTGCAGATGCCTCTATTGTCGCCTGTTGGTGAAACACACATTTATTTAGAGATATGCACCATGTAAATGTCCACATAGGGCCCACAGACAGACCAGGCAGACATTATTAATAGAGTTTTGCACACTACCAAACTAATTTGCAATCGATTAAAAAAAAAAAATCGATTATTTTGTCTCCTGCACGCAACGGGGCAGGCTTGTGAAGTTTAATCTAACGTTAGGTTGAAACAGGTGATACAGAAAGCACCGCGATAACGCGAGACAACTATCCCTTTCTCTCCATTCTCTGAACATAACCATTAATTTTCCTCCTCTCTCTAGGTTGCATGCTGTTTCTTCACCGCCGTCTGTGGAAGGGGGAGAAAAGGAAAGGAAGCCGCAGCCTCTTCATTCATCTTCCCCGGCAGTGAGCAGTGGCTTGCCGGGCGTCAACACAACAACCGTCGCCGGTCAAACAAATGTCCGACGAGGAGCCAAACATGTCGACGGGGAGGAAAACGGCGTTAAGGTAATTTAAAAAAAAAACAACAACAACCCGATAGTATGTGTGTCGTGTGATGCGTGACAGTTAGCCGCCGTAGCTAGCCGTTAATTGACGGTAACGTCTGCGGTTGTTGTGGGCAACCGTCGGCAGGTTGATGAGGCGCTAAGCGGTGTGTGAACCTTTGAACGTTCCATCAGGTATTCAGGTTGTAACGGCCGTTTAACGCACAGAATGCTCGGTCATAGCGTTGCTAACGGCAGCTAGCAACAGAGGGTGGCTTCATCAGTTGACTGGGAGACAGGAATTGTCGTTACACCTATCCAACATTAAAATAAAATATATACATATATTTAATTATATTAATATCACTTAATAGCTTGTGTGGGAAAATGTTGGCGTGAGATAAGATTGGTTTTTATGAGCAAAATTGGTGAAAGGATTTGATTGGCGTGAGACAAACTTTAACCTTTGCTATGAAGTTACGTTAAACATGATGCCAGTGACGATATTTAATCATTAAATGTAAGAATTATGTGTTTATTCAGTTTTTTAAAAAATATAAAAAAAAATTGCAAGCGTATGCAATATTAAAAAAAAGACTAAGACATACGAATAATGCATTAAAATATAGGTTACAGTAACGTTATATATAAGTTATATCAATCGTAATGAAGCACTATTAGCATAACAGCTGGTGTCTTGTTGACATTTTGCATAATGTTAAGTGAATGGTGCTGCATTCACTTGACTTGAGGAAAACTTTCCCATATTCAGTGCAGTGTTAGTGCTGGTTACTCACAAAATGTAATTTATTACTCTTTTCAGTCGTATGACCTTTCCCACAAATGTATCATGGTGTCATTTCTCCCCAAAATACAGACTTATGATGATTCAAGTCCAGTTTTGTTTGTTAAAATCAAAGTAATGGAGTATTTCCAGCCATTGAATGTAATAATTTCCATCTTTCAAACTAGTTTCCTGCACGATTACACAAATTAATCCATGGATGTGATTGGATTGTTGGATTTCAAATTAGTGGGGGGTGCCTACAAGAGTTTTTTGGGGTGCTAACTGTAACAGTATTACTGAAATGTATTAGTAATTCGTTACACTATTAGCTACTGGGGAAAGTAATACTATTACTGTAATATTATTGTGAGTTACTGCCCAACACCGGTCACAAGATTATGAGTTAATGTTCAAAGCCAGTAAAAACAGATGAGTAAGGTTTAAAAACAGATGAGTAAGGTTTCTGACTTTCAGCGCAGTCAATCCAAACTGTTTCACAGTGCAGATAATCAAAAACAGAAGAGAACGAAAATTAAAATCACATGTGCATAACAACGCCTAACAGAGAGAAAACAAACAACTTAATGCTTCAGAAGCAATAAGAGAGCAGGTTGGGCCAAAGAGTAAATGTGCATTTAAAGTTGACCCCTGAGGGCATCAGTAGAGTGAGAAAAACACATGGAAGGAAGAAGGAAGTGACCTTTTTCACAAGGGACATTTTGACATACAAAAATAAGATAAGCACATGTGTAAGTCAAAAGATTATTGATGGCTGCATTACACGGTGCTGTTTCAGTTTCGAGGGCCTGGTGCTGTGCAGAGCCGTCGTTAATGTTATTAGTAACACCTGTGCTCTTCCTACCATGACCAGTCTTTAAAAAAAAAAAAGGCCTATTTGTGCAGTTGTTGTGGCGGCTATTGAGAGATTCATGTCGCCATAGTAGCATTAGTCCTGCACCCAGGAACAGACACAAGCTTTTGTTCAGAGCATCTCAGGTCTCTGAAGCCAGTGGAAAAAAGGCTAGATGGGAGAAATATGGCCAGAAATGTCAAACAGCTACTTTATATTCATTGTGGCCCTTGATGCAGGTGCGAGGCAAAAGTACCAACAACTCAACAGTCAATACTTGTAGCATCATCAATAAAAATCACAAATATCAATGAATATTATTGATGATAATATACAGTTTTATACAAATTATAACTCAGATTTTGACCTTACAAGTTGCCCATAAGCCCTAATGTGACCTTCTTATATAAATTGTTGGTGTTGCTTCTTATTTTAATGTAGCGAAAGGAACAAGTACCTATGTTGTGTTATATAAGTCTTATTTGTCTGATTTGTCTACACAAAATAAGAGTGATGACAACTATTAGCAACATTTATTCATTAATTCACATTTCATATTTTTTTAATCCATGCTCCAAATATCATTACCAAATTTGTGATTAGAACTGACAATTGTCTCTTATTAAGATTGAATTCAACACACATTTTAGATATAGAAAAGCAATTAAATCATTATTTTTTCTTGTGCTATGAAGTATTTTCTATATAATGTTTGTACACAGCTACAAAATAGATATTATTGTATTTATCAGTTAACAAAATATGCAAAATGCAGATATAACTCAAACAGTTGAACTATATGCAAATAAACATGCAATAAAATGTTGTTTTTTTCCAGATTTCAGCATTTATTTTACATTTTCTCTGGTATTTGTTTTAAACCTCGGGGTCCACTTCCTTTCCCATCGGCATCAAACGCAGCACAGAATGCGTGCAGTGATTGGAACATGTGTAGCCAATCATATGCCTAGAATATACTAAGGCCCGCCCACTCATCCTCTTTCAACCAGTCAGTGTTGGCTAAAGTGCAGCTTTAGTTCCTGTAGTTAAAAAGCACATTGCCTGACAGAGAGGAGGAAGCTGTTGAACATTTAATCATCAGGTTAAGCTGCCAAGATTTCTGAAATGATGCCAACTGCAAGGTAAGATCCGAGGGATAATATCCTGCAGTGTTTACACAGGGAACACCTCGGCTGTTATGTTTGTCTTTTAACATTTCCTCACAGTGCTGTGGCAATGGGTTGATTTAAAAGAAAGTGGAGACTTTCAGGCTGATGTGTTAAGTTAGGGCAGCTTCAGGGAGTCTGGATCTTCTTACATCCATTCTGATCCCGTTCATGTAAAAACCACAGTGCTGCTGTTATTTCTCCCTGTGATCTCCACCAGACATTCAGCACAATCGTGTCTTGTGTTTTGTGTAAGTTGAGTCACCGGTTATGAAAACTCTGTTGTCAAGAGTAGACTTTGACCACTATGATATCTTGTTGCTGAAGAAAAGAAAAACAAATTAAAAAAGTTCAAACAAAATACAGTTTTTCATGCTTTGACGGCTCGACTTGAGTCTAAGCATGCATTAGCCTAAAGCTTTTGAATGATACACTCATGCCTCACATGTGTTTAGATGAGATCACTGATACATCAGTTGTTCAGAGAATGATAATCCTTTTATTTAGATCTTTTTAATGTGCTGAAGTGCCTGCTTTTCCTTTGAGTAATCTCCATCTGAATGAGGAAAAAAAAGAATGAATCAATGGTTTTACAGTTCTCAGTGAAAGCTATAAGTCCATTAGTCTGATATATGAGCTCATGAGTTTGAAATTTAGCAATTAGCATGTGTTGTACACACGTTGAGCTTCGAGAAAAGGTCAGGTAACAGAGCCATCACCAATAAAAGTTTCACTGATTTTAAATGAACAAATTAGAAACAGATGATCCTGTATCACAGCAGATTGTTTGTATCCTCTGTTCGTGCAGAGCCGGTGAGTGGGAGTCTGCATAATACAATATGTTTTTGTCTCCCCACAGTGAAAACACCCTCTTCGGGATGGGAAATCCCTTGCTTGACATTTCAGCTGTTGTGGACAAAGATTTCCTTGATAAGTAAGTCCAAACAGCTCATCTGTTTCCGCTGATATCTTCATATTTCTGCATCTTAAAACACACTGACTGTCATTTATTCATTTTTTGTATTGTTTCCCAAAGGTTCGGACTGAAGCCGAATGACCAGATCCTCGCTGAAGACAAACATAAAGCCTTGTGAGTCAAAACTTCACCGGGGCACCACGTGCTTCAGTAGCGTAACGCAAAGTGTTAAAATTATGAACCAAATAAGGGATACACTGGTCATTCATACCCACTACTACCCTCTTGACACTTAAGCCGTCCTCAAAATAGCCGAGTTATAAATCAGCCCTCTGTAACTTGGAGCCTCAGCACTGGACCCGCCCACATTTTTCCCATGTTGAATTGGTTGCCAAACTATATCAAGATGTCTCTGAATCTACTACTGCTTCGGATCACATAGCATATCTGCATTTATATTTAAACTGCATGGCATTAAATTTACACAAAACCAATTAATTGTTATTGTTTATTCAGAGTTTTACTGAGCACACATGCCTCTTTCCCAGACCCTCCCTCCTTCACATTGCAAACAGATGCAACAGTAATATTATAGCCTTCCTCAAAAACGTAGCTGAAGATGGCACTATACGCTTTTGAACCTGCAGGTGAAACATAGGCAGCAAAAAAAGACAAAAACAAAAACAAAAACGAAGCTTTAATTGCCGACTGATCTTACACCGTCCTCTTTGTTTGATAGAGTGCAGATGGTGTCTTTTCATGGAATTTGCCTGTGTTAATTTTAGCGCGGAAATAAAAAGTTCACCATCTGTAAGTAAGACGACGGTGAGAGGGAGAGTTTTCTTTGAAGTCTCCAGGATTAAACAATTTTTACATTTCTAAGTAAATCACATATTTTGGGATGTCAACATTTGTTATATGTTTGTCTCTTCTAAATAAGTGTCAGGATGCTTGATTTATGGTTGACTGATCTTTAATAATTACCTTGATAGTAAAAGACCCTAGAGTTGTAAACCGTAGTCATTCATTTTATTTGGCACAATCCACACTAGACTGAAACTATACTATATTTCTGTGTTCAGAATAAGAATCATAATCATAAACAGGTTTAATGGTGTAAAAAAATAATAATGCTAAAGTCAAGAGTCATAAATGTTAAATAGAAATCTATCATAAAACAATATGAAAAGTATATAAAATGTAAATGTATGTATGTGTACATGTGTATGTATAATATGTAAAAATATCTCTGTATTTAAAGATCAACTCTATGATTGTTCACAATTATCATAGAGTTGATTTCAGTGAAATTGGGATTTTAAAAGTAACAGACAAGACAAACATTGGGACCGAAAACATGTTTCGCTTAATATCTTTATTTTAAAGTTTTGTCACACTGAATAACGTCTTCCTTTTTTAAATCAACAATTCATCTATATTATTAAATGTAAATGGGTGTTAACTGCAGCCTCTGTGGTGACTCATGGTTTCACTGATGGGATCCCTGAGCTTCTCTTGTCCATTTTGATCACAATGGCGCTTACCAGACATTGTGTGTAATATTCACACACAGGCTGTAGCCAGATTGCTTGCCTTCACCTGTCCTGCACTTACAAGAGTGCCACAAATTACTTTTTCTCAGAGCTTTATTTAACCAGGGCCACTCACACAGCACAAATGCTCTTCTACAGGAATTCACTGCACCACACTCCGGCACATACACACCTCGAAGCCAACCAGTACAGCAGTTTTATCTATTGGATGTAAGATAACCGCATAACCCTTATCTGCTGGCCACTGAGCAGCTCCACTTGAACAGTTTGGTGTTACGTACCTTGCTCAAGGGCAACTCAGTGGTGGTGTAACGAGGAAGGACGGACGAGTGCTGTTCTCTAACTTTCTAAACCCAATTTAATCCTGCTAGTCCGGGGATCGAGCCTGTGTCAGCGCACACCAACCTTGGTTTTCCCACAATGTCTCCACAGCATGTACTTTTTTTTTTTCTCCACTCAAACTTGATTTTGACATTCAGTCTTTTTCACAATACTCGTTTGATCAAGACCAGTAATTTCAGATTTGTAACCACGAACAAGGCTACACACAAGAAAGCTACATAATTGTACACTGGCAATGAAAGGAGAGATGCATCACTGTCCTGAACCGGCTCAAAGTTCAGACAAAACAAGGGAGAGCACACAGATAATTAAGGTTTTAAAACAAAAGAAATGTATTTTACCAATATTAAACTATACAACAGGTATAAAATATGTACATCAGTGTTGTCAGTAGTGTATTGAGTGTGAGGGTGTGGGCTTACTGTGGTTCAAGGGAAAAAAGATAATGTGAAAAACAAATCGAAGTCAAAGCAAGTTCCTGCTGGCTGGGAGAAGAGAGAAATAACTAACAGGTTCAGCTCCCTATATAGTCCTACAATCTGGGAGCAAGTTAACTCGGGTGTAGCTCATCCTCCAGCTGGTTCATGACAAAGTGGGGGCTCGTAAAATTGACTAGTTTGGTAGTTCACCATCAGTTAGAATCCAGAATATGTACAGAGATACCGTAAACTGTAGACACACCTTCTGGTACATCGCCATTGTTACTACTATTCATTTTCCGATCATTTTTAGTATTTTGAATTTCTGAACATTAGTTCTAATGCTTTACTCCACAATCTGGTACTTCGATGCAGATCAAACATTTGTAAATATTCTCTCTGATTTAAAATAGATTTAGAGCATTACGCAGCCATGGCAGAAGTGCTCTCTGAGTGCCTTCTAGTTTTGACGACTAATTTTCCAAGAGTGCATTTTGATCGAACAATTTCTGACCTGACAAGTGAAGAATTCTGTTTTAGATGAATAGATATTCCTTTATTTGTCCCACAGTGTTTTAGTGTCTTGTGTAAACCTTCAAAGCAAATCGCGCATCAGAGCACCAGAGTAATGACAGATCAGACAGATCAGTACATCAGACCGTCCGGTACCTTTTTCTTTACAATAGGCTACCTTGTCAGGTCTTGTTACTTGACAAAGGGACACATGTGACCTTGGGCGGCGGCGGCAGCAGCAGCACAAAGCAGCATCATCAGCAGTGTTGTTCTCCTCCAGCACAAAGGCAGCGGTGTTATCTTTAGCCCCACAGACACAGTTCCCTCCACATTCTGCACAAGGTCAGGGCAGGATTAACATGCAGCTTTGGTGGTTTATTCCCAACACAATGCATTTCAATGCATGTCGCCTCCCATACCGCCCACCCCCACCCACACACTCGCCCTCGTGACCATCAATTTATATCTGAATGTACAGTGCATGTGGTATTTTTTTAATCACTTTATCTATTAATTTCTAGCAGTGCAGATTATGAAAAAGCTCAAATTTCAAAGTACATAGAGGTCATTCACAAGGTCACCGGTTTTCGGTTCATTTTGACGGAAGTGTTGTGACAAATAACATCATTACTTAAAAGGCCACAATAGACTTACAAGGCTAGTCGACTAACACCATTGTTGTGTTTCTGAATCTACAGAGTGTAACACGATTCATTTTTTTCTCCCCATCACCCTGGTGGGAGAGAGATCATTGGATGCAGTGCACTGTGGCCATGCCTGAATTCAATTATCTAGTCACAGCAGAGCCCATATAATCCTGTTGTGGCTGAAAAATTGCCTGCTGTAGAAACCATCAACATCCCTGTTAGTACTGGCTGGGGACTTAATGTTTTTTTTTTTCTGAATAAGCCTCAACTGTGACTTTTGATGCCTTTTCATTTTGCTTCAAATGTTTCACAAGTTCCAATTAATTCCCAGTATTAACTCAAAACGCTATTCACCGTGAAATCAGAGCTGAAAGGATTTGTTGATTAATTGATTAGTGTGTGACCAACCAGAAAACACAACCACAACAACAAAACCAGAAAGAATTGCCAAGACATTTGCCTGAAGATTGCTTCTTTGCCTCCCAATTCATATCATTAAAAACTGAATTCTTTGGATTAAGACAGTTGGTTTGGACCAAAACAGACATTTTAAAGACACCACTTTGCTCTGGAAACTTGTGATTAGAGCTGAAACAATTACCTAATTAGTTGATCATCAGAAAATGAATCTGCAACAAGTGAATCCATTAATTGTGAGTACCAAAACATCTCAAGTGTGAATGTTTGTGGTGTTTCTCCTCTATGAAAGTAAATTAAATTAAAATGAGTTTTGAACCGCTGGTCTCGAAAAAAACAAGCAATTAATCAAAAAAAGAAATAATTTAGATTAATTCTTAATTAAAATTACATTATTATTATTAATATTTTTAAATATTTAATTGAACGGGTGTCCAAAACTAGTATTTTCATCTCATAGGAGGGCCACTTCATCATCCAGGTACTACAAGAAAGCGCAATATTGTGTAAGTATTTCCACTACTAGCATCATACTTAACAAAACACCGGCTGTCAATTTGTCGTAGACTAAATTACTAATTGTGTATTCAAAGAAATAATAAAGAGATAAAGTAAATTGGTAATGAAAATAATAATCAGTTGAAGCCATATTGAAAACTAAGCGGAGCATCTGCTCTGCTTAAAAAACACTAACATCCTGGACGACCTCGCTGCCTTGTGGTTGAGACGCATACCACACAACCACAATGTTTGGTTTGTTTTCCGGCCCCATGACGTTTTATACCCCCCTTTCACTCTCTCCTCGTGTATCTGTATCTATACTTTCTGCTGCGTAATAAGGGCCACAAAATGCTAACTTAGAGTAAAGTATAGAATACCCATAACCGCTTCACTCTCTCCTCCATACAACGAAGCTGCTGCTTTTCAGAGTTTACGGTGTGGTGGTCAGAGTCTTGTGCTTGTACTCTCAATGCTTTTATTTGGATGTCACTTCCTGTGGTTTTTGAGCTGCAGTTGAAAGGGTTGTTTTCAGTAGATGCTGGGTTTTTTTTTTCAGAGGTTGCCTTGTCTGTTTTTGAAATTGGGGTATGAGAGGAAACCAGCAAACCAAAGCACTGTGTTTGACTTCTTTTATGCCTGCTGAGACGTGTATTAATTTTACATATTGTTGTTGTTTTGTAGTCACTGCTGCCATCATGTGGCTTAAGTTTGCTACCTGCAAGGTGGGGAATATGTTATGACTTTTTAGAATTTGCAGAGATTTGGGGTACATATTGTCTTTA